CCTCCCCAGAAATTTTTCTACCTAATTCTTAATTTTCTATTAATATTTTCTTTTAAATAAATGAAAATCCGCCCTTGGCTTGCATGCGTTGTAAGTGAAAGTCAGGCTCAGGAAAATATAAAGTATAGGATTGTGGACTCAATTACTCATAAATTCATAAAGTGAACTGGAAAGCTTTGATTCTCAAGTACAACTAAACCAGTTCCTTTATTTGTTTTGTTTTGTTTTGTTTTGTTTTGTTTTGTTTTGTTTTGTTTTGTTTTGTTTTGTTTTGTTTTAACAACTTTGTTGAACAATGTTCAAGCGGCAAGAGTGCGAACGGGACTCTAAGACCCATGCGAGGCACTCTCCCGTTACAATTATTAGGTATAAAAAGATAGTAATACACAAGTACATATACACGATACTCCATTATATGTAAACATTTACCAACTGGTTAATAACCCAATATGTATAACCATGCATCTACATAGATAAAAAGAAACTATTACAGTATAATATATTTAAATCACTTCATGCTGAGGCAATACCGTCAACAGTATGATCCGTATTGAAAATGTACCAGTGAACAATGAATACATTAGTGTATAAGTTAAAAGGTGGTTGAGCCGAAACCTTAAAACGATGCATCATAACTACAATCAAGCAGCCGGTATATGTCTACATATGAAATTAACTACCCCTGTGACAGAAACTTCTACGATACGTACAATGACCAAAAACAGATCATGTTAATTAATTGACTGAAAAGTACTAGTTTTACATAACGGAACTTTGAGCATCAGAGAAGGGTTATTACAACTATGGGTACGACTATGACTGACAAATGACACAAAATTTAAAATATTCGGCAAATCGTAAAAGCCATGCAAAGTTTTAAAGAAAAATGTCAAATCCTTAATATCTGTGTCATATGCTAAAGGTAAAAGATTTAGGGCCAGTAGTCGTTCTTTGTAGTCCAGTTGACCTTTCTTCAATTGAAGGATCCACCTTGTAGCACGCCTTTGAACTCGCTCTAGCTTGATTAGTACTTCACAGCTCTTTTTCTTGAACAATCTTGTCAATTTAGTAAATACTCGTGCCAAACTATTATAATTACAGTACTTCTTGGCACTGAGGTCAATGTCAAAGCCAGACACAATGTGCGATTTAAATTTAATACCTTGGTTTAATTTATTAATTACTCCAGCAGTATCAACCGCGCAATAATGATTAGCTCGAAAATAATCTGAATTTTTACACTAAAATGTTTTACCCTAAACTATTATTTTTGCTTAAGCTGCTATACACTTAAGTTTATTTCTTATTAATAAGGGGCACATTTTAGGTTAAAAATCAGAATCTTTTTTAGCTAATTAAACGGGGGGAGGGGGGGGACACCGCGCACATAAAGGCATGTGCTAAAACCTGGACGATGGACGATGGACGATTTTTATTTACAGTCGAAAGTCAAAATACTAAAACCCGCACACTTCCGCTCTTGTACTTTGTTGTCATTTATTGTATACTTCGTCGTGTATTAATAATAAGGTGAAACTTTGTTATTCAGTGGGTTACGGATCCACCGACCGTAAATATTCAGAAAGTGAAAAATAAAAAATAAAAAAGATAAATTTTGATATCAACAATTTTACGATTTTAGTTAATTTTAGTAATTTGGGGTTCTGGCATGAAGTACACACCAAGTAAACCTTGACTCTAAGTACTGCTGGCTCATGTTATCGTTGTGAATTCAGTGTTGCCAAGTCCTGGATTTTATCCCGACATCTCGGGATTTTTTGAAGCAGTTTGGAATTTTTTTGGATTTTTATTTTATAAAGACAATCTCGGGATTTCTTCTGGATTTTTTGAGAAAGGGAAGTTCGTAATGATTTAAAAATCGATTTTTCGGTAAAATTGACCAATAAACAATTTTGTTAAAAATCCAGGGTTCGTCCGCTCGTATTTAAACCCCATTGAGCTGCATATTTGATGTCAGATTTCGTTTTTACAACATGACGTACGAGGCTATCCCACCCGAAATTGGCGCGAAAACCACCTAAATTATAATGACGTAAAAAAAGTGGGAATACCGGGAATTTTTAGGGAATCTTGAGATATTTTGGGAGCTTACTTGGGAGTTTTACAAATTGACACGCTGGTTGTGATAATAAATGTGGAGATTAGCCATGTTTTTCCAAGTAGAAGTTAAGAGTGAATGTCAGTAAAAACCGAACATATGAGACATTGCGCGGCCACGATTGAAAAATTGATTTTGCTCAAATTTTGCCCAGATATACCTTATTATATCGGAAAATGCACCATATATTTTTTTAGATCAAATGCTTTTTTAACTTTGAGAAAATGCCGTTTTAACACGACCACCCTAAATCGCCATTTTTTCTGGGAAAATATGCGCTGATTTTACAGATAAATTTCACGATGACAACCGTTTCTAATCGATCTAAAACCCTAAAAATCTTGTTTTCGGTTATTCAAAGGACGGTATACATGACTTACAGGAAATCTGAGTTACTTTTAGGAATAGATATAATCGTAGTTTTGGAGCACACTATCTTACTTCATTTACGATACCCTCTTCACAAAACCGATTTTCACCATGCGATAAAGCTCCAAATCGATCATGCTTCTACTAGTTGGCTCTTTAATAAGCAAGCTTTCAATTGACGTAAATACTTCTTTTGGCAAATGAATACGCGATAAACGACAGCGCGTTGAAATCGTCCGTTTTTGACGTCTTGCAAGACAAACGTTGTTAATTTACATAACGTCGAAGTAAATAATTTAATCAAGTATTTTAAGTATTTTACTTTTTGAGAAGAAGATATATTCTTGAATGGAGACTTTTTGCCTTGCTTAGTTTAAAATTGGTTCAAAAATCGCGAGATATTTGTAAAATATCATCATATACAGGTATTTTGAAAGAGGGTCTAGATGGGGTTTAATGTTTAGTGTTAACCGTCCATATTCTATAGTGTTTAATGTTGAAACGGTAAAAATTTTGTTGTTTACTGTCATAGAAGACTTAGCAGTTAAGTGTTGTAATTAGTCTAAACGTCTAAACGCATTCCAAAAACTACTAGACCTACTAGACCTACTAGGTCCTACTACAAAAGTCTACTAAATTTCGGACAAAAGAAATACAAAACTATAAAGGTCTATAAAGTGCGACCTGTAAGGTTCTGTAACGTCTGTAAGACCTGTATTAAGAGACTTAAGATACCTTAAAAGTCTTAAAAGACCTTAAAACTATTAATCTGACAGCTTCAGATATGTCACCTTGCCCAGCGCCTGCATCTTTCTCTGTGCCTTCATGCAGGCCAACGCACATGCATCGAATGGGGGCCTGGCGCGACAATTACAAAATATGCAAATATGGCGACCACAGACATAACTGGAGTATTTCCTGCTCTTATATTGAAAGTGATTGTCAGTATTTATAGAGGGAAAACAAACGAACAACTTTGTGAAAGCTATAGGAGTCGTATGCCTTACGATGTTGAAAAGCATAAGAATTTGATAAATTTCAAGAGAGATCTTGAACAATTCTTAGGATTAAAAAAACAAGCTCAAGGGCTTGGTATTCCCAACATTGACATCAAGCTTTATCGTTTGGCACGTACGAGTTGTGGGAAGACGGAAAATTACTTAATATGCACCCAAGAACAATGGAATGTAGAACTACCGTTACTTTTGGGAGATGAAAACTCCGATCTCAATGGTGAGTCATGGATCTTTGGCTGTATTTTGACCTATGACACCTATTTTTGTCTGTTTTTCAGCCATCATGTATTGTGTCTATTGTGATATGTCTGATATATGATTTGTCTGATTTGTGGAAATTTGTACAATTGCGAATTGCGGTATAGGCGTATAGAGACTTTTCAGACAGTATAGGTCAGTATAGGCTAGTTGATCAAGTTGTCCTGTCCCTAGATTAGTTGTTTTTAGTCAATTTTGTGAATAGATGTTTACTTTAAGAGATTAAGAGATAAATACATTTTTCAAAGTGCAAGCAAAATTTAGCAAGCATAATGTTGACCAATTTCAAACTTTTAAACTGTCTTAAATGCAGACTTGACAGAATAGCCTTTCTGGTAATTACGTCACGACTAACACTGTTTTCAACTTAGGACCACCTTGAATGGAATGGATTTCAAGTTTGTTTCTCACAGGCTATGGATAGAGGGGCAGAACATCATTCTTCAACACATGCTTAAAAGACATAAAAGACCATAAAAATAATTTTGTATTTTGACCAATAAACAGGGAAATAAGCTTAAACACGAAAACGAGGCTGAGGGGCCATTGCGACCAATAAATGTGGAAATAAGCTTAAACATGAAAACGAGGCTGAGGGGCAATGGCCTCGTTTTTGTGTTTAAGCTTACTTCCACATCATAGGAATTAATTTTATGCATGTGTTGACGAAGGATGTTTGCTTCACTGTCCATAGCCTGTGAGAAACAAACCTGAAATCCATTCTAGACATTAGATAGATAACTAGATAAGATAACTTTATTTTAGCAGGGTGGCCCATTCAGCACTAGGCTGGTATCCATAGGGGCCCTGCTTATATAAATATATCTATTTACACAATAAGAAAATATAATAAACTAAACTAGTAATAGTACATATATAAATGTATAATTATAAAAACCTAATTGTACAATGAGTATTAATTATTAAAAACTGTGTCTTTGTATAAGAGACTTGAAATTAGACAAGGTCCCTGCCTTTTTAATTCGATCTGGAAGATTGTTATAAAGCAGTGATCCCGAGTATAGAAAAGATCTCTTGCCCAGACTAAGATTTGGTTTTGGTAAGTGCAAATCATCTTTCCTTCTAGTATTATAAGAATGAATATTTGAATTCCTTACAAAATATCCACTTAAATATTCTGGGACTAAATTGTTCAAACATTTAAATACTAAAACACACTTGTGAATTTGTCTACGAGTAGATAAATCTACCCAATTTAAAATGTCAAACGTATTTCTGGAGCTGTCTCGTTGTAATATTATTCGTGCTGCACGGTTTTGCAGCTTTTGGAGGCTTTGAGAACACCCAGCAGGCAGCTCGGACCATACAGCATCAGTGTAGTCAAAAATAGGTTGCACCACTGAATTGTAAACACATTTAGATGCCTCAATTGTCAAGCAAGACCGTATTCGCGAAAGTATACCTAATCGCTTGCTCACTTTGTTGCAGATCTCTTCCGTATGTTCTTTCCATGATATTTGTTCATCTAGCATTACGCCTAAGTAACTAAACTTTGGCACTCTTTCAACTAGTTTGCCTTGTAGTTGGATGGTAAAGTCTCCGAAACGACCAAGTTTTTGTTTTGTTCCAAAAAGCATAACCTTAGTTTTGCTGTAATTTAAAACAAGTCTACTGGACGTCATCCATTGTGCAACACGATCTAAATCATTTTGAAGGGTTTCCATTATCTCATTGGTATCAGAACCAGAAAAATAAATTATTGTGTCATCGGCGTACATACTGATTGAACAGCTTAATAGACATTTTGGCAAGTCATTTATGTGTAAGACAAATAATAACGGTCCAAGCACAGATCCCTGGGGAACGCCATAATTCAACACACTTAAATCATTTAAGGTGGACAAACAGTGTAGTTGTGACGTAGTTACTGGAAAGATCTATTCTTAACAGGTCTTAGCTGTCTTAACAGGCTTTGTAAACTTTGGAATAAGTCGAATAAGAACTGCTTCCTCCATTTGTAGCCCTTGTATGTTGCACTCTACGTCTACGTACATATATCCCTGAAAAAAATTTGAAATACTTGAATATATTGAGTCTATTGAGATCCATTCCCGGAAATTCTAAAAATTCTGGGTAGCAGCTGCTGTGCAGTAGGTGCTGACAGGACTGACAGATCTAGAACACACAAAGAAAACTTGGCCAAAACTAAAATTAGTCAACACACTCTATACTTACCTGTTGTACCTGGAGCATGATTAGTTATTTTATATTTTTAAAGTTCATGTGATCCAGAGAGTAGTCAGCTGGTCGGACAAGAGTGTAGTAATTGTATCTGTGCCAGATACACTTAACCCTTCTGGTACCAATTCATGTACCAATAAAAGTTCCACAAACAATGCAAAGAAAAATGTGGAACAAGAAAGCTGCACACAAAAGAGTAGCAGAGTTAGAAAAAGGAAAATTGAAGCTAACGAGGACAAAAATCTTCAGCATGACCTAATGTGTGACCTTAATGTTGTGCGAAATGATAGACAAACTGAGGAATTGGCAAGACTTCAAGATGGTAAGCCTCAATTAAATTGCTACACATTTCCTTAAATGGTCTTAAATGCATGCATACAAACTGGTAAAGTCCCAGGATGAATATAAATTATACTTGCTGGACTTGCAGTCTTGCTGTGTTCTTGTATCTGCTTGTATATACTATATAGTGAACAATAGGGAAATATATCAATTCTAATAATTATACAGTCTACATAGAAATATAGTACAGTATGTCGTCATAGACTCATTGGCATCTACTGGTACCATTGAACAGCCGTAACTAAACATGTTATTTGGCACCCCCTAACACAATTTACTTAATAGTCTTAATAGAATGTGTTCTTCTGCCTTTCAGAACTGAAAAAATTGAGTAACAGCAAAGCACTCAACGAAATGAAGTTTGTTTCTGGTATATGTCACAAGAAATACAATATAAGCGGCAGCCGAACGATAGAGGGTAAAATCAGCTACTATAAAACAAGTAAGAAATTATGGTTTAAGACATTTAATAAAAGGTCATAAATCCTATTATAAGTGTAGGTATTGACAAGTCTGACAGTGATGTTGTCACTGATTCTGAATGGTCCTGAATGTACATGGTGAATGTCTCACTGACATGAAATAATGCATGTAAAGTAACATACTTTCTTTTTATCTTTATTAAAACTTTCCAATCTTCCCTCAATTTCCTTAATATTGCATGGCTTGTAGAAATAGTGCTGATTAATAGTTTTTACTTTTTAGCTCATTTTGACAAATGCATGAATAAAAAAGAAAAGTTAGCACAAGATGCAAAGAGAGCTAGAACTCTGGATGTATTATGGGCGCAGCATACCTCCAT